GAGTTCGTAGCACTTTTGAAACATCGAGGATTTGTTGGGGGGCTACGGGGGGGTCGGGGTCGGTTTCTTGTTTATTTAGACTCCGCGATGTTGAAGCGTGTAACGAAGGCGCGCGCGCGCCAAACTTTTAATGTTTTTTTTTCTTGATAATCTTGAAAAACTGTTCAATCTCGAGCCGCAACGACGTAAGATGTTCTTCCTGGTAGAGGTACAGAATTCTGAGTCGGGCAGGGGCGCGAAAATGGTTCTCTGGCAGGTTGAACAATTGTGCGTTCAAACTACTGCTGGAGTTCACATGTGTAAGCATGCCTATGTCACCGACAGCCGAGGTAGGGCGCAGACGAGTGAGCGAGGTGCAGCAGATACTTGTGACTTGAAGGGTCCTGCGAGAGGAGGAAGAGCGAGCATATTTGACATGGACACGCTGTTTATCTTCAATCCTCGAGAAGCTGTCTCCAGCCGAGATATGGCGCAGAAGAAAGAACATTGGGGGGGGGGGGGTGTTGATTTTTGCAATGTTGATTTACATAGGGTGGACACGGTACTGAATTTTGTGTGTCTGAACCCGCCGCTGAGTTTCGAAATCCAAGGCGTGGGGTTGAACAACCGCGAGGAAGAACTCGTCCACCAAGGGTAGCATATAGCACCACCCATCCCAGTCATCGCCTTTTTCAAGAATTCCAAACACGTCCATCCCGAGCTGCGGCGTAAATCAAACAAACACACAAAAAAAAAAAAGGGCGGGGGAAGGGTCATCAAGAACCGTTTTTTGCGTACATGTAATTATCGACCATTTGAGTCCCTAAGCCGAGGGTCCTAACATACGAGAGCGGACAAGTCCAGGCACCGTTCGTATGATATGTATAAGTACTTACATAGTATCATAAGCACAGCCAGCGCCAGCGCCCTCGTGCCTCGTGCGGAGCCTCATGTCCAGCGTCTATCTATATATGTTTCTTCCGTCGTTGAATGAATAATCCGACTCCGATTGCGGGGCCGAGCCCCGGAGAATCGTGGAAGGCGTTTCAGCCACGGTGTGTCGTGAGGACAAGGGTCCGTCGTCTGTTCTTTCTGGTGGATGGGAAAAAAGGGTTTAGCCCCTGAGAACTAAAATATCTGTTTGTTTCCCACTAGTCCCGACCCAGTCTTTCTTTTTCTTTTCTTCTTTTTTTTTTTTTTTTTTTTTTTTTTTGTTTCGGGAGTGTGAGGCGGGCGAAGGACGAGGAGAAGGAGGAACGGGTGTCGTAAGTTCGTTTTCGTTTCGGTTTGGTAGTTCGTTGAACGCGAAAAAAAGAAGAAAAAATTAATCAACTGACCCACGGCGCGTGGGGTCACCTGATCGTGTCGGTCGGCCTTTCAACCCAACCATCCTTTTCAACCTTCCATCTATGTAGCAGGCCTTCCAATCTCAACTCTGTCACACACGAATCAACATCTCCATCTCTCAATCTCTGATCTTCCTTGCTTCGCATCTCATCGATATCTTGCTTCATCTTTTGTGATGATTATGATTATCTGCGGGGGGGCGGGGGTTCAGGATTCGCACTTCCAGGGATCTCAAGATGCGACGCGAGATTTTGGCAACGATTGATTATATATTTCTCAATGTTCTATGTATGTGTGTAAGATTCGGGCTTCCAACAACCCAACACGAGAGTTGTGTAACTCAACCCGGATCTCCTCTTCCATCTTACGATAAAAAAAAAAAAGAAGCAGAGCAGGAAGCTAGGTATACTTATATACCGTACACCATGCCGTTCGCAAGAAAGCGTCCCCCGTGCACGCGCTGGGGTTGTTTTCAGCCCCGTCACACCTTTTCTTGTGTTCGTCTCGATAAGATCTGTATGTAATGCCTACGTATGAAGAATATATATCGGACGTACGACGCGTTCATACCTCGCTCGTCATGCTGCTGAACAAGAACAGAGTTTGGTCCTCCTCTCTCCGCCGGTCCTCTCTTCCTGTCAGTAAGACAATCCACATCCCGTAACGCGACGCGACGCGCTCTTGTCTTTCGTTCCTAGTCTAACCTTTGATCGACCCGTGACTGCAACTCATACAATCATACCCTTGGTACCGCTTCCCTGAGTCGTCGTTGTCGTCGTCGTCGTCGTCACAACCCATCTGGGTGGGACGTGTCGACATTCAGGCGGGCGTGAATTTCACGTGGGGACCAAGCATACGTGCATGCGTAGTAACCCCCCCTCACGACGATCTTGACCACTATGACACAGGGTCGGGTTCGACATATATTATCCCTATGTATGTACTCGAGCTCTCCCAATCGGGTTTGGATTGTGATGGTCGCGAGATCTGATGCATGATGGGTGAGTTGGTTGGTTGGCGCCGGTGCGCCGCGAACAGATCGGGTTGTCAGTATATGTGGGGCTCCTAGCTCCTATGTAGCCTCCTGTGTATGTTATACAGCCCCTCTTTCCCCTATGCAATCATAATCGCAGCGTGCCTTGGTCGTAAAGGGACGCCGACGATAGCCGTCGTGATTTACGCAGTATGGTTTACAGCAAGTGCGTCATGGCCGTTGGTATCGGACGCCGGAGAGAGTTATGTTACTGGTCACGGTGGCCGCTGTATGGGCCAGAATAGGAAATGAAGAGCTTGTGCGTAGGCGCGGCAGAGGAAATTTTTCATGCATTTTATGTATGAGCCGCGGGACCGCGCTCAAGATTTATGCATGGGTGGGGGGCGTTGTGGCCTCGTGGGGGATCGTCTGGGGTGGTTCTTGATTGGAGGGTACGGCAGAGGGCCTGGGAAAGGGAAGGATGTCGGGAAAAGGCCGAGGAATCTGCTCCTCTTTTGACAAGATCTCGATCGGGGAAGTGGAATAAAAATGACAAGGCGTGATTTTTTGGTTGATGGGCAATGACCTCCTCGCCAGCTATAATGCGCGCAGACTCGCCTGTGCTTGGGTTTGACGGCGTCGAGTCGGACGATCCCCTGCGCTATCCGTCGCCCAACTTTGCACGGGACCTCTGCACGACCAAGGAGTGCGCCCGGATGTGCGCCCGCACTCACCTGCTGCAGCCCGCGCCCCAGACGCTGTCTCTGCACTCCCGCAATGCCGTCTACCTGGACCCGGACGACGCGTCTGCCCTGTTCCCCCGCCCTGTGTCTGTCGCCGCGTCCATCGACTCGTACAGCGAAAACAAGATGGCCGCCCTCGACCACATCCGCGCACTCTACTCGTCCCCGTCCTGCGTTTACATTGGCCCGCCTGTCCCCCGACCCGACCCCCCGTCCTCGCGCTGGTCCACCACGTCTTCCCAGCTGAACCTGTCCGAGCCACCCGCCCCCAAGCGCAAACGCCTGACGTCGCTCTTTTCCCGCCTCTCCGCCCTCACGTCCTCTGCGCCCCAGGCCCACCCCGAGCCCCGCGAGATGCAAAAAGCCTACCTCGACCGCGATGACCCCCCCATCGCACTCGACCTCTGCTCCAAGCACAGCGAGCGCTCCTCCCCGCATACTTTCTACACGTGCCTCTCTCACCCCTCCAGCCCCACCCCAGAACCCTACATCGACCACCCCGGTGTCCCGCCCGACCTCTCCCTCGGCGCCCTCACCTTCCGCCCCTCCACGCTCCCCGCCAGCCCCACGCCCTCCTTGGACTCCAGCCCCGAGCCCCGCCGTGACCGCATCAAGCGCCAGCTCGAGCAGCGCGGCCTCAGGGAGCAGATCAGCATCGCCACCTTCAACTCGGCGATCGAGAGCTGTGACGAGGACGGTCCCGATTCTGCTTATGCCTATGGCGCATACACGTCCCGTGGGTACACGTATGCATACTCCCACTCGTCCTTTTCCCTCTCCACAACAACAACCACCACCCCATATACGTCCCCGCCCCTCTCCCCCATCGCTTTTCCCACAACACCCGCCACGTCCGTCTCCTTCTCTCCCCCAACCTCACAAAAAGAAAAACGATCCCGACGCAACACCGGTCTCAAGGCGTTTTCCATCCCCGCCATCTTCAGCTTCAAATCCAGATCGAGAGCCCGTTCACTCGTGTCTTCTCCTTCGCCCCCGCCCGTCCCCGCTAAATCACCCACCCCAGTGGTGCCCCCATCTCCCGCTAAACGAATAACCATCCTCCTCCCGGGCTCAGCTCACCCCGTCACTGTCGTCCTCCCACCGGCCCCGCGCGGCCCTCCCCCTGTCCCCCCCAAGGACGCCCGCATCTCTGCCTCTGCATGGACGAGGCGTGTCAATTGTGACTCGTCGTCGCCACACGCCCTTGCAAGTTGAAAAACCGATAATTTTCTTCTTTTCTTATTTGTTTATTCGTATATAATCCACTCTAGACTTTTTGTTGTTGTTGTTGATGCTATGTTCTTTTTGCATTCTTTCCCTTCCCCCCCCCTTTTTTTTTTCCCAGACTCGGCCGGTTACAGTCCGCTTTTAACTTTTATCTCTCTGTTGTCTTGCTCTTGTCGCTGTGATCGTTTTCGTCCGTTGGTTGCTCTTGCTGTCTTTTGTCGAGCCTCTTCGTCATCGTCGTTCCACCGCCATCGCCACCGCCAACATCTCCACGCACGTACGCACGCACACGCTTTATATTCGCATCTACATCATATGTACCACAACACACACACACACTCTTTTGCATCTCATACTGACGAACACTCACGCTCATTCACGCTCTCTTTCCGTCTATTCTACCACTCTTTTTATTTGTACGCGCCGCGCGCGCGCTCACGGTCTTTACTCACACTCATCGCACGCTCTTTCGATTGTTATACATTGCCTACCCTCTGCGTGTGCGTTTTTTGGTCCGTGCTTGGCTTTTGTTTGTGGGCGGAAGGAAGGAAACAAGTTCAAGGACGGAGGAAGGAAGGGGATGTATCGAGTACTTGTGTTGTGGTAGAATTTTAAAGAATCAAAGAATGGGAAAAGAAAGTGAAAAAGCAGATTGGAGGTTTTTTTTTTTTTTTTGGTGTCGTACGGACAGGGTTTTGAGGAAAAAAAAAAGGAAGAAATTTTGCCGTTGATGAGTCGACTCAGGTTCGAACTGAGGACCTTCTGTGCATAGAGGTGTTATTCGGAAACTATGTTAGACAGATGCGATAACCAACTACGCCATCGACCCATGGCTCTATAGGTTGATACAAGAGTAGCAAGAAGTTCAAAGGTTCAGTGCAAGGGCTTAAATAGCAGGAAGGATTGTATCAAGTGTTTTGCTTGATTTCATTGAAAAGAAAAGGAACAAATAAATCTGAGAGTTTTGGGTTGATGGGTAATATGTATACCCAAAACAAAAGTATGAGTCGACCCAGGTTCGAACTGAGGACCTTCTGTGCACAAATGGTAGTCTTCGTACCCTATGTTAGACAGATGCGATAACCAACTACGCCATCGACCCATGCCCCAACCTAAAAAATGACGAATGTGAGGAACCTATGCCGTTAACCCCGTCCCGCCCCGCCCCGCAAATCCAGCATAACACCCTCCCCAGGAGAACCCCGCTCCAAAAGGGCGTGCGAGGTATCCCTTTCATGATGACCTTCAACCCCATATGCTCTTTCGGTTCAAGCACTCCGCGTCATTCGGTGTGTGTTTTTCCCTACAAGCTGTCATCACATGTCTTTGATCCTTTACATGTCCATCTGACCTTTATGTGTATTCAATCTATTACGTTCCTCTCATAATCAATTCAGTTCTTTCTTTACAGTATTATCAACCGACGTGTCTGAAACGCGGTTAATTATCACACATCTTGTCCCTGGTCCATCATTTTTTCGGATTAGACGTTGATTGTGCGGCCGGGTGTACGTTTGTAATAACCGATGTTTTTAGTCGGCTCAAGTCATGGGCCGATTATGGTCTGCCAGTCATCCATCCCTTCCATCATGAAAGCGTGTATGAAAAGTCAGAACTTACTCAACTCGACCCACTTATCTCCTTATCTTTCCTCTATAAATCGGTTCTGAATCTCTTCCGGCGCTTGTCATCAGGGCTTTTTGGACTTGAGAAGGTTTTTTTGACTTGCGATCGTGATTGGATGGGCTTTTAGCAGGCCTATTATTTTCTCTATTGTATTCGGTTGTGGGTGGTCGAATACATGGTTCCTGTCGATCTGATAGCAAGACATTGGGCGTTCCGATTGTCAAGACTCATGTCTATCATCGGACAAAGTATTCAGCCAAGATGCGGCTTGGACAATGTATCCGAATTGTATGGGATGGCTCTTAAGAAACACGCGCCTTGGAGTAGTAAACTTGGACCCTGTACTTGTGCTATGTAAGGTGTCAGCAAAAAAAAACATGGGCCACTCGCGATATCTCTGACGCTTTCTAGAGTTGTAAAAGCAGGAAGAAGCCTTCATGATCAGCATTCTTTCGTGTGATATCCTATCCTCTTGAAATGCATCTGGACAGAGCCAATCCGCTACGCTGTCCTTTCGCGCTCAGGACACTCCCACTCTAGCCCAGATAAGGACTGAATTCGATTCCAGAGATTCAAAATGGCTTAATTTCCCTATGGACCCACAATCCAATCCAAGAAGCCATCGAAATAGACAATTTCGAACCACGTACCATGATCCTCGATGTCATCGCGTCTCTAATGAAATCCCCATAGTTCAAAAAAAACACACACACACGCGCGCGTCCAGTCCTTCTCTGCGTTCTCTGCAACCTGTCGAATTTTGGGGTTCTCCACCCGACTAGGATATATTAAAATGACCCATGGGAAGATAAGACGGTGATCTCGGGTTAAAGTTTCAACAAGCTTGTTTTTTTTTTAAAAGAAAAACAGAGCCGTCACATGAGTCTGCGGGTTCTTTCCGCAGATGGACTAAGCTTTGCATAATCATTTCGGCGCTTAGGACCCACATGAACTTGTTGCGGACCTGTCCATCAATGTGTCATGTACATGGAATACTGATGTGTACCTTGAGCCGTTCTGCAGTACTCCAAAGTTCCACATACATCCGGCGAAATGACGCTGAAATTGATCTCAATTATGCTTAGAAGACCGCATATTGTAGCCCCACTGCATCATATTTCTTTTCTTGTCTCATGATCAGCATTTCTTAGTTCATCCAGTTGATTTTGTCAGGTAGATTTGTGATAATGAACTTTTGAAACCAAATGATTCATCATCCTCGAGCATACACTTAAAATAATATAAATTCATATCAAGAGTGGATTGAGCATGAATTCACTGCCAGCATGAATCAGAGTTGTGAATACCATTAGGGCCTTCTTGATGGTGTATACGAGGTGTGCATCTGTAATCGGGACGATGTTCCAACGGATGGCGCACTTGCGATACTGGGGGGTAGCCAGATCTGGTAATCCGTGTTCGAATGAGAAGGTGTTTCCGTTCCTTCCATATCTGACCTCTCGAGCTCGATTTCCATTTCGCGGCGTTGAAGTTCCTCCTCTCTCTTCTCGAGCTCCTCCTCTTGGTACTTCACTTCTTGTTCTCGCAACCAAGTTTTCTCTCGAATTATGCGGGCTTCATCTCGGGTCGTCACCTCTCTCATTCTGACCTCTTTCTCTTTCAACTTGACCGCCTCCTCCTTCCGTCTCACCTCTTCCCCTTTCAACCTCGCCTCCTCATCTTTCCTTCTTACCTCCTCCTCTTTCAGCCTCACCTCTTCCTCTTTCCTCCTCACTTCCTTATCTTTCCTCCTCACCTCTTCTTCCTTCTTCCTCACCTCTTCCGCCTGTCTATGCACTTCATCCTCTCTCTTCCTTGTCTCCCTCGCTCGTCCGAGCATTTCCTCTTCTTTTCTCCTCGCCTCCTCCGCCTGGATACGCACTTCTTCCGCTATCCTTAACGCCTCCTTTGCTTTCCTAACCTCTTCTGCATGTATGAAAACTTCCTCTCTCTGCCGTGTCTCATCAACAAGCTTCTGTATCATTGCATCATTCTGGACATGCGACGAATGTCCGACAGGTGAAGTGGATAGCTCAATGGCAGGTTGAACACTGTGGTAATATACCATCAGCCAACGAATCGCTTAATGGGAAAATCTCTTGACTGTGTATGACTCATAGACTGCTCCTGGGTATCTAACAGGTCAGTGTCAGTCAGCTGAGGCATATACCTCTCTTCCCACTTCCTCTGCTCCTCCATCTGCCTCTGCTTCTCTTCTTCGTCAAACTGTTTCTGTAAAATTTCGGCCACCTGCCGAGATTCCTCATCTTCCCTCTGTAACCTCTTCGCCTCAAGTTCCCTTTCACGACGCTGGAGTTCCTCCTCTCTCTTCTTAAGTTCTTCCTCCCGGTGCTTCATTTCCTGCTCTCGCTTCTCAGTTTCTTCTCGTACCCTGCGGGCCTCCTCTCGGGCTTCTACCTCTTTCCTTCTCACCTGCTCCTCTTTGAGCCTCAGCGCCTCCTCTTTCCTCCTCACCTCTTCCGCTTGTCTACGTACCTCTTCTTCCCTTACCTCCCATAATTGTCTGAGTGCATCCTCCTCTTGTCTCCTTGCCTCCTCCGCTTGTATATGCATGTCATCTGCTATTCTTATTGCATTCTCTTTTACTTTCCTGGCCTCCTCCGCCTGTCTGCACAATGCTTCTATGGTCTGGATCTTTGTCTCTTTCCGCTTCTTTGCATCTTGCTTTACTCGAGGTCGTTCGTCAGAGTCAGTCGGCTCGGACGAATTGCAATCCAGCGGAGGTTGCGAGCAATCTATGGTCTCGTCAATCAAATGAAGGCCGATGGAGTCCAATGTATAACTGAACGTACCATGGGCCTCCGTCTTTTGAGGATATCCAGGTTGGATATCTCTTTGAAGCTGAATCTCTTTAGCCTTCTCTCGCTTATCCTCTTCCTCGCGTTTCCGCTTCTCCTCTTCTGGGCACTCCTCCTTCTCACGCGCCGCCTCCAGCCTTTCCCAATGCCCTCTTCCCCATCGCTTTCGGTCGAGATGCGCATCCTCCTTCTCCTGTCTCTCCCTCTCTTCCCTCTCCTCCCTCCCTCCCCTCTGCCTCTCTCCCTCCGCTTTCTCCCTTCTCTCCTTTTTAGATCGCTCTTTCTCCCTTTTGTTCTCTAGTTGCTGCTTCTCTAGAAGTTCTTTCTCAAACTGCCGTTGGTTCTCCGCGCGCTCCCGTTCTCCGAATCTCTCCTTCATCTCCTCTTTCTCCTTTTGCGACCTCTCCTTTTCCTTTTCCTGGTCTGCCTTCTCCCACTCCCGCCTCTCCATATCACGAGCTCTCTCCTGTTGAGCCTGTTGCTCCGAAGACATATGCGAATCTAATGGCGGCTGGAGCGATTGTATGATAAATAAGCTCCCGTGTCCCTGCTCCAAGCGTTCCATACCACTCACAGATTTCTCCTTGCGAGCTCCATCGATTCTGATGTCCTTCTGCTCTTGAACGAGTGCCTCAGTCCACCCGGGGATCATGTTGACACTGGCGGCCCAACGACGCTCGTGACGTTCGCGCTCCAATCCAGCTACAAAAATATATTCCGCGAGGGATTTGATATTATTCATAGCCTGGTTAAATTCCCGAATGACAGCCTCACGCCGTGCGTCAGGCAATATCCCTTTGCTGAACTTTGTATGGTAATTCTTCTTGGCGTCTTCGACCATGGACGACAAACCGTCGTTAATCTTCGCTCGTAGCGCATCCTTCCACGCTTCATCTGGCTCTAATTCAGCTTGAGCCCTAGTATCATTGTGTAATGGTAGCGGCATAGGAGATGCCAACTTTGCCATCTAAGATCTAGGACTGATTGAAGCCAGCAGGAAAGAGAGAGGACAACAGTCAGCTGTAACGCGAGTAGACCAGAGATAGAAGAGTAGAGCCAGACTGCCTCGTGTTCAATACACCGGTCGAATGATTGATGAGAGTACTTATAGTAATTCAAATTGGATGATGGGTGTAACTTAGTTACTAACTTCTCACCGGCTTCACCGCTAACATTAGTGGTGAGGGATCCGGATGAGTCCAGTGCATCATGATCATTAATTCCCCACTTCCGGAGTATCTATTCAGGGAATTTATTCAGGTGATTTGAACAATGTCTGTATGGATCCACTGACCGCTTCTATCAGTTTAGCTGGCAGATTGCACTTTGTGCAGTCAAGCACGGTGTACAATGGAGAGGGAATTCGAGTGCTTTCCAAAATCGG